CTCTTTCAGAATCTGCAAGACCTCAGTTGACTGAATCTAGAGCAAGTCAGACCCTACCCCTATGTCCCTGAGAGCACATTAGAAGCTGGGCTATTCCGAATTAGACCTGCTGTTAGAGAATCTCTGACTGGTGCCTTATTCAGGTTTCTTGTGCAATATTTGGTTTCTGTCTCTGTACTGGGACGTTCTAGCATGTGCACTGTAATGACAACTGAATTATTACACACTCAGAGAAAGAGTAGAAATGTGAAAAACAGACATGGCCACATAGCTAGGCTAGTGGGAGATCACTCAGCAAGCAATAGAGAAGTTGTTTGAGAGTAGAAGTAAAAGTCTAACCTGGGAACTTAATCCTCACCTGCCTTGTTCATTACCTCTTGTCTCTGTCCTTTAAAACTCTTCGGAAGGATCATTTTTCTCTGGCTTACAGCTCTGAATCTGAGAACCTGTTACCTACCCAGTAGCCCATGGGAGTCAGAAGAGAGGCCTTTACTGTTGGAAATGTAGAACCCCAGGTGATCCCTCTGATATGGGGCTGGCTTCTTGTAATGGTGGATGAGGATGACAAAGCTGATTGTGTCCCGTATCGTCACAGTGATGTTGGAATTGGCAGAGATGGACACCTCGAGGCTGCTGCTCCGCACAACGGCACTCCGATCGCAGGACAGAAGCAGTCTTTCCCCATCATCCAGGATGATTCTTTTGGGTGTAATCTCTAGGTAAGACCTCTCTGGTTTATTACTGAGGATAGTGATGGTGCTGAAGTAAGTCCGATGCTTCTTGTGGCCGTTGGGTGGTGCAGGAGCTCCAATTAATTGCCCGTTCACAGTTACACCTTGCAGGAAAATAATCAATAAATAAAAGCTGGAACCAAGAATACGTCTATTATCTTAAAAAGATCGAAGCCTTGCAACTGAGGACATACAGATTCACCACCTCATGACCAATTATTTCACCTACCAGTATTCAAAACAGTATGGCCAGTCTGTTATAAATTGATTACTTTATACAGAGAACCTAAATTTAGCCAAGCCCAGAAATACCGGCCTTCCCTTGAGACAAGTACCCCCAGTCCCATTAGTCCTAATATTTGTGTTCACAGTGCTACAAAACAGAATCAGGTGCTCCTCAGCACAGCCACTTCCTAGGCTCCATCCCACCTTAGACCTACCTATCATCAAGACAATGATGTGCAGGAGTTTTAAGCCACATAAGACAAATATTTATCTTCCTGACTGCTATAGCCCAACCAACAGTGGTATGATTTACCTGGACCACCTATTTGTTGATGCATAACTCAGGCCTGGGCAAACATACCAGATCTTGGAGGATTAAGAAAAGCTGCTGGCAGGCCTGGTTTTCCTCATATCACCAACTGGTCTAGGGACTGAACTTCTAGGAAGAGGACGTGGATGTATCTGGATGTTTCTGTCTCAGAGTATCTCAGTGTAGTGGACAGCTGCAGTTTGCTGTCCTTCTCTACCTGACTCCTAAGACAACTAGCCTAGGAAGGCACAGAGTAAGGGTCAACATGCTAAAGACTAAGCAGGGCCTGTAGAGGGAATAACCTGACCTGCAACAGTCTGAAGTTGTTAAATATCCTCAGGTGGCAGTGTAAAAAATTCAGGTTCTCTTTAGGTCACTGCAGGATGGGACCCTGAACTCTGCCCTCCCACTGATTTATTTCCAGCTTCACAAGTGCTTACCTTCCAGCCTCCCTCAGTTTTACCCCAAAGGAACCACTTCTGAGTAGCCTAAGGTGCAGTTCTCACTGAGTCAATGGAAGCCTAGCTGTCCACAGGAAGATTCCAAATCATTTTTATGATTTGTGGCTTCCTGTCCATAAGACAGTGTCTCACATCCAGACAGTAACAATAAAGGAGGAAGTTTGTGGCTAACCCAAGCCACCAACACCAAGATAAAATATCTCCATATCCCATCATTGCTGGGGAAAGCTCTCATTTCTGTCTTTATAGACCCAACTTGCTAGTGCTACCGAGTCTTTCACAAGCTCATCTCACATTTGAGCCACAGAACCACTCAAGTGGTAGCACAAACACAGTCTGTGAAAGAAGTTCAAGGGAAACATTGCCAGGAGCTGGACCTCATTCACTAAGGTGGGCATGAACACAGAAATACGGAGGCTAGAGCACTGCCACACAGAACAGGATTCTCATAACTTTATTGTGGGGTTGTTTATCTTCTTTGTAAAACAAGTCTGTGCATTGTCTCTGGTTTTGACACCCCTTCCTCCCACCATTTCCCTGCTTGGGACATAATCTGCTTATTAGCTGCCCTGCTTAGAATTCCAGATGGGATCAGAGCATAGTTTGAGCCCCTGGGGATCAGACTGTATTGGGCAATGCACATCCTGAATCGTGTGGGTTTCTCAAGGTTATCATGACTTGGTAAGTAGTTTGGTGGTCCCTTCACTGAAACAGCCTCAGTGCTGTTGGTTAGCCCGTTTGGATACTTCCCTCTGTCCCAAAGTAACCAACATCATTGTCAGTAAAGAGTGAAGCTCCAATAACAGAGCAATCTTGGCCAGTCCAATTCTTTTATTTTCATGTTGTGACTTTCTAACTAGAGGGCTGATGAAGTTGCACCATCAAAGAAACGCACATTCTCTGCACCAGAAAGCTGAATCCCCTGTGTGATCTCTCATCATGGAGGTGGCTGCATGGCTCAGGCAAACACTACACGCAGTGTGCAACATGTCTGGGGCTGTTTGTTCAGCTGTGGCTGTTGTAGCACCGGTCAGTGCAACCCACAGACCATATTGGGTCTAATAATCAGAAACTGAGCTCTCAGTTCCTACCAATCCAACCTAGAAAGACCAAAGGGGTGCAATGTGGTCCTCAGGCACTCAAGTGAGTCTCTTGGCCATTTACCTGTGATTGTCGCTCCCTTGATTTCAGTCAATGAAGACCTGAACTAGGAAAAGTTTGGATACACATGAAGACCAGTTCTGTCTACAATTAGGTCTAACCTGTTGACAAACACTTCTGTAGATGAATTGTGTATCTAACAGTGGCAAGCCCTCCTTGCTTAGGCTTGCTGTACTGTGTTCAGGTTTGGGCCCCTCACTACAAGAAGGACATGGAGTAGCTGGAGCGTTTGCAAAGAAGGGCAACAAAGCTGGTGAAGGGCCTGGAGAACAAGTCTTATGAGGAGCGGCTGAGGGAACTGGGGTTGTTTAGTCTGGAGAAAAGGAGACTGAGGGGAGACCTTCTGGCTCTCTACAACCACCTGAAAGGAGGGAGTAGTAAGGTGGGTGTTGGTCTCTTCTCCCAAATAACAAGGGATAGGAAAAGAGGCAATGGCCTTAAGTTGCACAAAGGGAGCCTTAGGTTGGATATTAGGAAAAAAAATTCACTAAAAGGGTTGTCAAGTATTGGAATAGGCGGCCCAGGGAAGTGGTGGAGTCACCATCCCTGGAGGTATTTAAAGGACATGCAGATGTGGTACTTGGGGACATGGTTTAGTGGTGAACTTGGCAATGCTGGGTTTATGGTTGGACTAGAAGACCATAATGGTCTTTTCCAACCAAACTACTCTATGATTCTATTATAAAGTTGGAGGCCAATATGTCCAAGTGAACAGTTTACCTCCCTTTCTAATCTAGGTGATTAGAGCCAGAAAACTGGTATCCATCAGTTTTCCATTGCCTGGCCAGAAAAGCAGATTTTTCTAATTTCCTGTCACTTCCTTGCCTATGAAGCACCTTGGTGCTTATTCTTATTGTTAGAGAGCTGGCCTTGCACTTCAGTTTTTCTCCACAAGCAACTACTTTACTTGGCTGCTCACCAGATTCCTTATGATCAGAGACCAGTCGGAGAATGTCCCCTGGTTCTCCATCGATATTGAAGCAGACAGAGAACTTGCTGGAGGGAAAATCAATGACAAAGTGAGGGTCTCCATCCGCTAAGAAGACATGGAAAAAAGAGACAAATGTGAGAGACAGAAAACTGTGGTGTCCAAGAATGTGACAAAACTGTTTTTCAAAGTCTGTTTGTCCCTGTTTTTTCTAAAACCTCTCAGTTTGTTGGTTTTAGAGGGTCAGCTGGAGTTTGCCAGGAAATGCCAAGTTTTGCTTTGTTTTTCACAAAGATTATTTTGTTTTGTTTTGTTTTTCTCACAGAAGAAGCTGGGTTCTCAAGGAAAACCCAAAATAGTCCAGGTGAAAATCAGGATATTTTCTTTCTGGAATATCATTTTGGTGATTTATAGGAGTTGTCATGCAGGTGCTTTATACTCCTCCATACTTTGGTGATAGGGTACATCCACCACAGCACTCAAAAATGTTCCTTCTAACCAAGGGAAGCTGCATGGGCACACCTCCCTCTCAACCTTCCTGGCCCTCAAATAGCAGATTGGAGCCATCAACAGCAGATATTAAACAATCCCATAATCTGAATTTTTCAGCAATTCTTGAACTATCACCAACTACCAGATAAGTGTCATTAATATTAAGACAAGCCAAACCCTTAGTTTTTAAGGTAAATTTGACCTTACCCAGTGAAATTCAAGTCTAAATTATCGATCTGGGGTTATTCTTTTTTGTTTAATATATGAAAAGGATGTGAAATAGAGGTGCAGAACCAACAGGGAAATGACAAAACACTATAGAATTTCATTTTTTTTCCCTTTAACAACACTTTTTATGTTTCAGCAACATTACTTTATAAAATATTTGTATATTCCTAGTTCAGAGAGAACATGCTTCTTTTCTCCCCTAATCTACAGAAATCTCAAACATGAGGATCAAGTGTTGTAGATCATCTGCCTTGCTATGTTTCCTCACACTTCTCACTATGGATCCTCTCTGTACTTTGTTTTTGTTTTCATTTTCCTCCCTAATCTGTAGGTCTAGTAAATAGGATTTTGACTGATTCATCAGGATGGTTATACCACAGTGGCATGCAACTGAGGTTTCCATAAATCAACCACTATTATTTTGGATTATTAAAGGCATGAAAACAGGCACTGACCTGAAGTTTTGGAGATTTTAATTCTTTGTTTATCTTGCTGTCTGCGTATACCTAGAAGCAGGGGAAGGAAGGCTGTTACAATTATTTATTGAGCAGCAGAAAGAGCCATAATATAATAATAATTCAGCAAGATTATGGGATGTATTCCTGCAGCTACTTTAAGCTTCATTTAGAATACCAATTTTTCTTCAATAGTTTCTACAGAGCACAAGTGCTTCAAGGAGGTGAGTCAGGTCCCTAAAAGGTTTGCTCAATGTCACCCAGCCCATAATTAGCAAAAACTATATGAAAATCTCAGCTTTCTGTTTACCAGCCTTCAGTTCATTGGGTAGATCATCTCTGTTGCCAAAGTCAGCCATGAGACATTACTTATACAAAAAGATTTCTTACCAGCACGTGGTTAGTTTTCTCTCGTACCTGGTGGTGCCTTGTGTCCCTGCAAGCTCTGCAACTTTTCACCGATGCCATCAGTAGAAGGGCTGATAAACTCCTCTTGAGGTGGTTCTGAATGGAGCCCAGCCTCTCTCATCTTCAGAACGGTGAAGGGAGTAACAAAATTGTAATTCAGGGCCATTGACTTTGCTTTCTCCATCAAATAGTCTTTTTCCTGACTGTTATCACTCTTCAACCAGGAGTTAAGCAATTCTTTGATGGTGAGGTAACTCCATGCCCTCTCAATGTAATTTTTATCACCTTTGCCATCTTCTAGGCCAGGGACACCTCTG